TCCTTACTCATGCTGTTGAGCTTCCTCAAGATCATGGCTCTGAACTCTACCAGTGATAACTTGCCTAGCTGCATTTCATTGATCTCTATCTTTGATAGAGTTCTCTTGTATTTGGAGTTTGTTTCTTTGTTTCACCATGTTGGCTATCTCAGTGGGTTTTGGAGCCTGCCAAATTTTCCCTGTGGTTGTTGGTGTCCTGTTGTTTGTTGCTCCCTCTACTGGGTTTGGATGAACTTGAGTGCAGCAACGTTAAACACCACTGCCAAGTCTTACTTTCCTGGGTAGATTTGCAAGCCCTGGAAAGGTTCACTTATTCTTTAGCTTTTTCCTGGTGGCTAGTAGTCTCAGTTACTCAGTGCCTTGGAATATAGCCCTGGTGTTCTGCATAAGAGGATTTCCAGAGGATGGGATAGATGTTGGTTATTAATGAGCCTCGATGTGCATTTCTTTCCCTCACCTAGGAAAGGCTGAATCTCGGGGGGTGGGGGGTAGCTGCTGCTTTTCCCCACAGCTCTGGGAAGGAGCACACTGGCCACCGTCCTTTGTGGCCACAAGTCAGCAAAAACTCTGAGTGTCCTTCAAATCCCAGGTGTCCCACAGAGTTCCAGCCCAGTCTGCCCTCCCTCTGCCGGAGCTCCAGGTGAGTGGCTGTGACTATTTTAGCAACTGTCCAGGCTCTCTGCGCTGTGGAGAGTGCTTGGTCTTTATTCCTCAGGAGTGCTGGTCACAGCTAAGACTGCTGCTGTTCATGGGCTCCCAGCCCACTACCCTCTTGCTCCTTAGCAGATCCGACCAGTGTCCCTGGTTATATGGTCCTGTCCTGCTGCTTTTCTGTTGCTTTTTCCCAAGGATTTGTCTTTATTTTAGATGTAATTCCGGTTGGTCTTGGGAGGTCATCTGCATAGCTTCTATTCACTCAGCCTCCATTTTCACATCCTCTATGCCTACCTTTTGCGCAGCTGGGTCGCACAGGCTTTTCTGGTGGTCCTGCACCTGCAGGTCCCGAGGGTAACTGGATCGCACAGTCCCTGCTTGGTTTCACAGTCCTCTCTGGTGCCCCCACACCCTGCAGGACCCATGGGCAGGCAGCTGGATTGCACCAGTCTCTCTTGGGCTCCAGCTTCCCACTACACTTGTGAGCTGCTGGACCACACAGGCCTCTGTGGAGCCCCAGGTCCCGCTGCTGGTGTCTGGGGCGTGCTGCTGCCCAGTGAGGCTCAGCTCCTGCTCAGCTTTTGCTGTAGTTTTTGGGGATGGGTCTCAGCTGCTGGTCCGTGCTTCTGTTGCTTGGGGATGGATGTCTGCTCCCCAGCTTCTGTTGCTGGGGGTATATCTGGACTCTGATCCAGCTGCTACTGTGGGGGATGGTGCTGGGCTCTGGGCTGTCTGATGCTTCGTGACTGGAGCCTTGGGAGCTCCACTACTGTGCACTGGTCTCTGTTGACACAGATTGTCCACTGGTTTGATGGGTCCAGGTGTGCTGGTGGGCTCAGGTGGCTGGGCCCTAGCTGCTCCCAGTGCCTCCTCCCAGGGAATATCCGGAATCTTCCAAAATGGAGGGACCTCCCTGTGGCGCAGGGAGAAGCACCCTGAAGGGCCGCTTACCGCGGTAGCCGGCTGCTCCGTCCACAGCACAGGAACCTTTTGCTCCATGGCTCTGCACTGCTTCGGTTTGGGTGCCCACTCACATTCTCTTACACACTTACTCACTCTCTTACACACTCACCCTCCCTCTGGTCCTGCCTGCCACCATGTGACTTGTTTTTTAATCTAACAATTAAAACTTAAAATTTTCTTTAAAGTTCCTCAACAAAATCAGGGGCAGGTACAATTTGATTATCATTTTTATAATGGTAAGTTGCATAATTCTGTTCAAAGAATTACAATCTAGCCAAGGGTCACTTTACTTAGTTCTTGATTTGTGTTTAGTCCCCACCCTTGTCCAAACTTGATGCATTTCCCTGTCCTAGTCTGAGCGACCCCGCACTGCAGATGAATTCCCTGGGTGTCACTGTGGGATGCTCCTGGGCCCTTCCACCATCTCTGTGGTGCCTTACCAGAGGCTGAGCTCTACTTGATGCACCCGCTGTGCTCAGTATTTGCTCTCAGAGATGCAATTTTCTATCAGTCACTTCCTCCTCAGAGAAAAGCGTCTGGTTTAGGTGGAAAGCAAAAGTTGCCTAGCTGAGTATTCTCATGAAAATTTAGCCTTTTCTCCCTTCCTTGACCCTCCACTACCTTCGAGGGTTTTTTGTTTGTTTGTTGTTTACAATATTGCTTTCTGCCAGTCTCTTAAACATGACTGTGCTGACTTGAGAACAACCTTTAACCGTAGAAGGTGCTAGTATTTAGTATGTTGGAACCATAACTGTACAACATTTGAAATTTTCCTACTAGACTCTGCATAGAAGTGAGAATTGAAAACAAATTACATAAAATGCTAAGCTTAGAATGAATTTTTTTAGCGTTTTTGCCTCTAGGATATGTATTTCACAAAGAGTACTTGTGACTAGCAGGAAATTAGGTAGAAATTCAATTAATAAAAAAGCCATCCCCATGCTTTAATGTTAAACAGATTATCAGGATTTTTTGAACTACATTTATTTTCTAGATGCTTATTGCAAAGTAAGCTTAAGTGTCTCATGCCACCAGTTATTTTAATAGATATGAAGTGAATTAGAATGTAAAGATAATGTCTAACACCAGAAAAATTTTTTCTTCTCATTAAGACTTAAAAGTTTTTACCTGTTTTATATGTAGTTTAGCTGGTAATAATTATGTTCTTTACTATTTCTGATTTTCCTCCTTGTTTGGCTCTCAGACCATACCAGCTTATCTCATTTAGCAAGCCTTTCTTTAGTCCTTTGAGCGGTTGAGTTGTTTCACTGACAGGATGGCCAGCTGTTCATTGAAGCTTACTGTGCCTGTGGAATCACCTTTGAGTATGGATAGTGGGATGTAGGTTGTTCCATTGTCACAGCATGGCTGCTGCTGACTCTGCTCACTGTGCCCTAGGAGCCCACAGGGTCTTCTCGAAGATAGCCCTGCCGGAAACTGCCTCAGTGTGTTACTTGGGTGCACCGTTCGAATTACAGAAATGTATGAGCCATAGTGCTTACAAGTATGCTTTTTTCACAGAACCAAGTAGGCTGTTGTCAGTTAATAAATAATGGGTTGTTTATCTTGAAAATATTTTTATTGGCAGATGTCCCGAGTGATTCAAAGCTGTCTGTAAATGAAGAATGTCCTCATTGTTTATTCAGCTCCTGCTTTTCTGTTTAATGTGCTGATATCTTGGGGAAATTATTTGAATATCAAATCACAAGTAAAATTTGTGCAGTATTACCCCCCAGAATTTCAAATAGGCAATTTAACTATGACTTAATCTCAGATTCCTCTGATCATTTGGGGTGTGTGTGTGTCTGTGTGTAGCTGGAGGGGGAAAAGGGTGAGGAGAGGGGAGCCCAGAAGTTTGCTATCTAATTGTATCAATTGTAACTAGCTTAAATAAATTAAACTACATTTCTGGTTGGTTGACTGTGTGTCTAATGCAAGTAAGCTGCTGAGAATTCACATAAAAACATGTGCAAAGTGAGAGACAAGAGGGATCACATGGGGAGCAGGTCAGGAAAGGTTGATGGAGATGAGTTTGATGGTTGATAGAGGATCAACAGGGTGGCAAGAGGAAGTAGAGCAAATTACATTTTGGCAAGGAAAACTGTTTGAAGATTTGTGTTATGATCAGCAGTAGGTGTTCAGTAATGCTGAGAGCAAAAGCACTGCAGGAATGGCTGGGAAAATGGCAATATAGGCTAGATGATGAAAATCCTGACCCTGTCTGTCAAGCGGTAATAAATGTGTTCATGATAATGTGGCTCTGACCAAAGACAATGTACAACTAAACCAGCAGTTTTCAATCGTTTTCACCTCATGGCACACACAAACTAATTTCTAAGATTCTGCAGCACACCAAAAAATATATTATCTTTTTTGCCAGTCTGACAAAAAAAAAATAAGTATAATTTTGATTCATTCACACTGGACAGTTATGTTACGTTGGCTGTTTTTCTTTTAATTTGACAATTTAAGGGTATTGCATGTTTTAAAAATTCTTGCTGCACACGGGTTGAAAATTACTGAACTAAACAATAAACTTGTCAAATCTACACAGATGTTCTCAATAGCTACCAATCAGGATGAGCCTGACAAATCATTAATCTAATTGATGTAGAGATAGCAGCTGCTATTACGTGTGAAGGACAAGAGGGCTCTACTTTATAAAGGCTGTTTCATAAGTAATATTTTTGTGTTACAATGGCACACTGGTAGGGACTCAGATTGTGCAGGGAGACCCTGTGTATGTAGAGTGAAGGAGAGGTTTAGAATGGGTTTAAGGAACTTTTGTCACTTGGGTGACCAGGAAGATTAAAAAATGGGGGGAAATTTCTGTTTTGCATATACCATTCCCTCCTGGTGTAGCAGATCACGTGGCGATGTGTCCGGTGTTTAACAATGGCACTCAAACATACATTGCCTGAGGTGTGCAGTTTTAATGTCTAGTGTTTTAAAATTATTTTTATGTGGCTTCTTGGCATCACTGCATCACAAGAGTCAAAGGTTAAATCATGATAATTGGCCAGCTAAAACATCTTTTAATGGGGAGTTCAAAATCTTGAATAAAACTAATTTACAGTGCTTTAAGTTAGGGAAGATTGAAATTTTTAATGCTTTGCCGAATAGAAGGACAATGAAGCATTTTTTTGTTTCAGTTGAGTTTTATAGATTAAATTTTAGTATTATGAAGTAATAAACAGATGGGACTTATTTTTGAGAACTTGTCTATGTGTTTGGAAAACAACGAAGACAGTTTTGATATAAAAACAATTCAACTTTAAGAGACAGAAAGAGAAAGAGAAATAAAGTGTATGTGTTGGAAGTTGGATATACATATATGATGACATTAGAAATCCCTTATTCTATACTATTTTACCTTTTTTAGGTGCTGGTGAATCTGGGAAAAGTACAATTGTGAAGCAAATGAAGTAAGTAGATTTAAAACATTAAATTTGTCTTTTTTATGTTTAAAATGTGCCCTTCCATCAAAGGAAATGTTTTCATTTTCCTTTTGTCTCATTAGAATTATCCACGAAGCTGGTTATTCGGAAGAAGAATGTAAACAGTACAAAGCAGTGGTCTACAGTAACACCATTCAGTCAATCATTGCTATCATCAGAGCCATGGGGAGGTTGAAGATAGACTTTGGTGACTCAGCTAGGGCGGTAAGTTATTAAATTCTTTGGAGCAGGCCTGATGAGTAAAATGTATAACTTGCATGATAATACCATACCACAAAGCAGATTTATCAGCTATCTCGGGACCATTTTGTAAAAGGAATCAAAGGATAGTGAGTGAAGTTAGAAGCTTTAGAAGTGAGTGAAGTAAAAGTACATAGAGTATGTAATCTTTCCTTTATAGCTAGCATACTCTCCTTATCTATAAAATTATTTGGATAATTCACTAACCATTGCAATATTTTCTATGTATCCACTTGATACTGAGTTCCTCCATGTCTGCGTAACAATTGTTAGTCATTACTACTGAATTTAGAAAACGGCCTACATTGGCACTCTTTAAAATTCATTTTTATAATTTGGAATGCTGAAATGATCTAATTATTTGTATTCATGCCCAGACTAAAAAGCAGTCTAATCTCATATAATGAAAACAGAATAAAAGTTTGCATGTCTTTAGAGTTGGAAAATACTGGCTGTTAGGAAACACATTTCAGAATGTTGGAGCTAAGGACAGGGTCCTTAGGAGACCAGCTAGTTCCACTCCTTTATTTTATCAGTAAAGAAACTGGAAGCCAGGAGATTACATGATAGAGAGATTGCCACGAGTTGGTGGTGACCTAGGCAGTTTAATCTCATATAATGAAAACAGAATAAAAGTTTGCATGTCTTTAGAGTTGGAAAATACTGGCTGTTAGGAAACACATTTCAGAATGTTGGAGCTAAGGACAGGGTCCTTAGGAGACCAGCTAGTTCCACTCCTTTATTTTATCAGTAAAGAAACTGGAAGCCAGGAGATTACATGATAGAGAGATTGCCACAAGTTGGTGGTAACCTAGGCACTGTGCCTGTGCTTCCTTACTTGGCCCATGACTTGATTTTGGTTTGGCTGGAAGCAGCCCTGGCCTAATCCATATGACACTTTCCTTTTCTTCTTTTCAACCCCAGTTTACTTGCTTACATTGTTCATTTCATGTTTTACTTTGTGTGTATAGATTTTTCTTTACTGATTTTTTAAAAAATAATTGTAAAAATTGACCTTCCCAGAAACCTTAACTGAATCTTCAGCTTAATTTTTGTACAATGTAGATATATTATTATTGCTACTACTGTTTTTAAAATTCCTTTGTATTTTTATGTACTCAATATGTGTGTGTGTGTGCTACCTCCCTACTACTGCTATGAAAGTTTTTTGTATAGAGGCTATAACTTTTCCTTTTTGTCTTCTTAATGTCTGCTCAATTTTATTTTAAAATATATGGAAAGGCTTAATTCATGCTTAATAGGAAAACAATTAATGAAGACAACTTTAGAAAATATACATTAGATAAATGTATAAAATAAGCCTTTTTTGTTTGTTTAATATTTCTCTATAGGCTACTGGACCATATTAATTTTCTAAGTATTTCCTTTAAACAAAGATTTAAGAGCTTAGTGTAATGAATTAATATTTCAAGTAGATTTCAGGATCATTTTTAATAATAATTAATAACATTCTTCTAAATTGTCATTTCTGAAACAAGTTTTTTATCATATCCAAACATTTATTGCATTATCTACTATCCATTCAGTCTGTAACTGTAACTTTTATCATTTATTCATTCAACAAATGCTTTTTGAGCTCTTAGTCTTGCACAGAAGGGAACCACCCTTAGATAAAAGGCAGAGAATTTATATAAATTGTACTTACACTAATTTCAGTTATGGTCATTTAAACCTTTTATCAAGTTCACATATACAATATTCTGCATTCATATCTTACATGTAGTTAGCGAAAGGTTTTGTAGACTCCATGAGGTAATAGTGGTCAATGCAAGCAATTTTATTTATTTATTTATTTATTTTTATTAATTAATTTTTGTTACAGATGTTTCTCCTTTTTCCCCCACTGATTACCCCTTTCCCCTCCCTCCCCACCCTGTCCCCAGTTTGTTGTCCATGTCCACTGTTCATGTATACATGCATATAACTTCCGTGGTTTATCTCTCCCCCACCACCACCCTCTTTAGGGGATTGTCAGTCTTTACCCCACTTCCGCGTCTCTGGGACTACCCCATTCCTCAGACTGTTATGTTCATTATATTCCACAAATAGGTGAGATCATATGAAACTTGTCTTTCTCTGGCTTGTTTCACTTAGGATGATACTTTCAAGGTCCCTCCATGTAGTCTCATTGTTTTCCATAGTGGCTGCACCAGTCTGCATTCCCACCAGCAGTGCACTAGAGTCCCCTTTTCTCCACACCCTGGCCAACACTTTTTTGATGATTTGTTGATAGCGGCCATTCTGACAGGTGTGAGGTGATACCTCATTGTTGTTTTAATTTGCATCTCTCTGATGATTAGTGATGATGAGCATTTCTTCATATGTTTCTTAGCCATTTGTATGTCCTATTTGGAGAGGTTTCTATTTAGTTCCTCTGCCCATTTTTTAATTGGATTCTTTGTCTTTCTTTTGTGTAGTTGAACTTCCATTTGACCCAGTGATCCCACTTCTAGGAATATACCCTAAGAAGGAAGCAGTTTTTTATGAAGTCTTTTTATTTTATTGTTTTTTCTTTCCAAGAATGTTGGCATTTTCTGCCTTCAGAAAAAGAAAACATAACTTGGTCTTTGTTTCAGACTGACTGGGAGAAACTGCTCTCACCACAAGCTTTTATTACTCCTTTTAGGCTCTAGCTGTGCCCTAGTAAGTGTTCACCTTGAGCCTGTTCTGTTTACCACTACTTGCAAATGGACCCGTGCTCCCACTTAGGTTTTGATCAGTCTACTCTGTCTTCTGTTGATTTGCCTCTACATAAGCTTTCAAATACTGCGAGGCTCTTGGAATTGTGCTAAGAAATTTATCTCTATAAATTAAACATGGCCTGGGCATGAGGAAGGGACAGACGTTGGAGCTTGGTAAAGAAATGTGTGAGTTTTCTGGACAAAAACAGGGGAAAAGTATTCTAGAAATAAGAAACAATATATTCAAAGGGTAGATATATTTATATTTCTAAGCTATTAATTCCTAGAAATATTTTTCTTGAGTTGAAGGATAACCAAATATTTAATTTTGATAGGTACTAGATAGATTTGCTTTCAGAAGAAAAGCAATGTGAAGTCTTTTCTAGAAATTGTACATCTTTGTCTAACCATAGTCTCACCAACTTAGATATTATCAACATTGTAATTTTTAATATCTCACAAGTGAAAAATGTTTATTTTTTTATTTTATTTTCCTGAATTTTATTGAGTTGAATCTTTTGTGTGTGTGTGTTTCTTTTATGAACTCCTCTTCATATTCTTAATTCAGTTCTGTTAAATTACTTGTCTGATTCACATTGTCTCTTATTGGGGATATTAACCCTTTTTATATTTTGCAAGTATTTTTCTCAATATTATTTTACTTTTTGAAAATATTATTTTTCTTGTTACAGAACTCAGTTTTTTTGCAATTGATTTTGACTTCTGTGTTGTGTCTTGTTAGGTATTCTTCAACTTAAAATTACTTTAAAACTACTTTTATTTTTCTAGAATGTTTAGTTTATTTCTTTCGATTTATATCTTCACCCACCTTGAAATGTTACTTGTGTCTCTTGGTAGGTGACTTGTGGGATCTAAATATATTTTATAATCTGATCATCTCTTACCTTACAACCATTTATTAAATATTCAGTTTCTTAGTGATTTGAAAATGTGACCATTAAATTGGGTGTATTTCTGAGTTCCATTATTTTTCCCCATTGATATATTGTTTTCTTTCCCAGATCAGTCACTTATTAAATTACTTAATCTTTATAAGTTTGTTTCATCATCAGAAGAAGGAAATAATAACATCTAGGACATAATGACATCAAGTGTTTACCACATGCCCTGGTCATAATAGATGCTCAATAAATGTTTATTGCCGCTATTGTGTGTGGGAGACTGTTTGCATGGCATCCATTTTGCTAAAATCTGCTCTGCCATCTCCTGCCCCAAGGCAGGATACCTCTGTATACAATGTTTCTGCATTCCTTTAAGTAACCATTTACTCAGCCAGTTATGCTCTGTTTATCTTTTGTTCCACCCCGGGATATTTACGTGATATTTACGTGATATTTACCTGAAATTGCTTCAGGGTGGTTACCACAAACATTGCTTGGTGTTTTTCTGCTTCTTGCCCTATATATAGTGTGGATCTCCCCAGAATAAACAGACTTGATCAGAGCCCTGTCTTGTCTCCATTTCTTGTGTCTCTTGTCCCTCCTCATCCTCACTCTTTTGCTTCCTAGGGTTGGTATTTGGTAGGGTAAGAACATGGCATCCCACATTATTATGTTTTAGCAAAATGTCAAGGTTACTATGTATTTCTGAACTTGAGAATCAACTTTCCCATATCCCTCTTGAGACAAAACAAACAAAAAGCCTGTTTGTATCTTGATTAGAATTTCATCTTAATATGTAGGTTAATTGGGTGAGAATTATCTAAAAAGAATTAAAATTTTAAGAGATACTGACTTATTTACTGTGGTTTGCTTCATATTTGGCAATTTGATTTGCAAAGCATATTACACATTGTTGTTTAAAATGGGAGGAAACAAAATTGTTTCTAAGAATGGCTTAGAGCAGTCCAAATTTGGCCTAATATCTTTTCAAAACTGTCAGAATTAGTGTATTCAATCTCTAGATGATAATGTATTGATAAATTAGATTATTGTTTCTAATAATGTGAAGCTAGGGAAGCATTGTGTGTGGGCATATTAGCATGTCCAAGGCATTGCATTGCTTAAGACAGTGTTGCTCAAAGTATGGCCCCTGAATCAGTTTCTGTCCATAAGCACAAGATGAGTACAGAAATTAAGAGTAAACATTTAGACAGGTTTCTAGCAATCATAAAGTAATTTTTGCATTAACTCTGATAGTTTAAGGAAATGGGTTAATTTTATTTTTCTAATAGTATTTGTTCTGAAATAGTTTGGAAACAAAAGAAAATCAAAACATAGACTGGTTTTCATCATAGACAGT